GGACCGCCGGGCCAGAGGCGGAGCTGCCGCCCTGCCGCGACTTTCAGACGCGGACCATGGCCTCGCGCTGCTGGCGGTGGCGGCGCGGCTGCTCCTGGAGGCCGGCGGCACAGAGCCCCGGGCCCGGCTCCCTGGGAGGTGCAGGGCCGCCCGGGCCGCGCGCCGCTGCCGACGTCCTCGCGCAGGTGAGGGTGGGAGGCGCGCGCCCGGCGGGGCGCAGAGGTCACGGCGCCAATGACAGCGGCGTGCCGAATGAATGGGAGCCGGGAGCACGTGCGCCGGGGCACCAGGACGCAGGAGTCGCTCCTGGGTGGGACTCCGGGGGAGCCGGGCGCCTGTGGTGGGACCGACCCGCGTGCTTGTGTGAAGTGGGGGTGCCCCACGCGAGGGTGCAGAGCGGTGACCTGGGGACCAAGGGAGCGTTTGGGGAGGGGAGAAAGCGATGGGGAGAAACCCGGGAGCGATGAGATTGTCCACTGGGGTGTGTTCAAAGGTGGAGCCTGGAGAGCTCCTGCAACTATGTACTTTCGTCTTGGAGGAAGACAGATCTCACCTGGAATGTTAGAGCAAAAGGTGCTCCGAGCTCTCCGATCACATTGGTCTTGGAATAATAATCGGAAAAGGTCTTGTGGAGAATGCAGGGCTGGTGCTAGGGTGAACTGGGCCATAGTCCTACAGCGGTGGCTCTGGAGGGAGCACACACCTGGATGGGGCTAGAAGGGCACTAGAAGGAGAAGAGGCCCAGGGATGTCGGAAGGAGAGAAATCTTGGAGTCATTTTTTATTTGATCTGTGACTTATTGAAGGAAAGTCAGAATCTCAACACTGGCCATGCTTCTTTCAGATTCTCCCCTGCTGCCTTTGGATCCATTCTAATTTTCCTCCCTTTCCAGTCACTTTAGCCCCGTGAATGGACTTTGTGTGGCTCTGAGAGTCCTTCCAAACTTTCGAATGATTCTCAGTGTGCCTTGGGGTAGGCCCATTCTGTTAACATAACTGTAACCGAACTTGGGTCCTGCTTGTCCCTTACAAGCCAACTCCAGAGACAAGGACTGGTGAAAGGAAAACTGTTTTATTCAAGAGCTGACAACCTGAGGAGATGGCAGACTAATCTCTCAAAGACCATCTAAAGTCAGTACAAATTTCTGGCCCTTATTCTGCTAAGGGCAGGGAGAAGAGGACAGGATTGGGAAACTCCTTTGTCCTTGGTTGAACGGTCAAGATGTTCCTTTAAATCTTTAACAAAGCATAGTTAGTGTACATATTCCCCCCTTTTCCCGGAGTTAATCCAGACAGCTGCATACTTGTTCCTACATTATCTTTTCAATGTTTCAAAGTTATTCTAGCCCATGCGCAAGTGTGGACAGAGGCAAGAGCCCCCCTTCAGTCTAAAATGGAGTTGGTTTTGTTCGTCTTGCCATTTTACTGTTAAATAACTGCAAAATCTATGGACTCGCTGTTTATTTGAATTTAGGACTCTTCAGTTTTGTTCAGATTTGTTACACTTCATATGTTCATGCACTCATACTCATCCAACACCATTTACCAATATAACATATATAACATTTATAAATAAATACTGTGTATCAAAGTGGATACATATCCCAAATTACCATCCAAAAAAGACATTTGGAGAAGGAGTGGCAGCTGGGCTAGTAGACAGACTAGAGAGTAAAGAGAGAATAATATATGGAGAGCCGGGAGGTGCATGGGAAAAAGCCTTAGAGGAAGGGACACTTTGCTGGGATTCATTTCAGTACTGTCCTTCAGATGTGTTTGTTTCCACAGATGAGGACATTATTGGAAGCGATGGATGCATCCATCCTCTGATGCCACTAGATGCTTCCTTTCTGTGTGCTACTTTTTTTTTTTTTTTTAATTTCATGCCCACCAAGTAACCTTATCCATGGGAAGGATGCTTTTCTGGAGAGAATATGCCTTGGGCCTCCATGTCGCCCACATGACTGCAGAAGGGACTCTGCCCATGAAACTAGTGCCCTGTAATTCTGATTCATGTGTTAGTGATGTTATCATGATAAATGAATACATTCGCAATCTGGTGTCAGCCTCAGGCATGTGTGTTTTGGTTACTTCAAATCTCTCAGGGCCTAATAGTCCCTGGCAATAAAGAACAACAATAATTACGCCACGTCTGACTCTCCAACAGGGCCACTGCCTCCTGATGTTTGTGCATTCTCCTGACTTCACTATTAGTAGAATAAAAACCAGTATGCATGTGATTGTGCCAAATCACTTGCCAGTATGTCTTGATTTTTTACCCACACTTTCTCTTATTTTAAAAAGTAAATTCAGAGAGGGTATATGAGGAAAACATAGAGAGCAAATCAGAACTGGAAAATGGTAGTGTTCTACAACTTTAGTCTCACAACTCTCTTGATACTTTACTGCTCTCTGAGACCCTCTAAACTCACTTTGGAAAACATTGCTCTGGGGTACTCTTAAAGCAGAAAATGGCTTCATTGAATTGATACTGCATTAAAACATACACTTGTATACTAAGCTCTGAGCTGAGAACAGTACATATACCCTCTAAGTTAATCTCAGCATCTCTCCGTGAGTAGATAATATCAGAAAGATGTCACAAAGTAATGTATGTGGAGACTTGAACGAAGATCTATCTTCCAAAGACCATAGTACTGACAACTGTTAGGCTGCCTGGTAGTAAAAAGCTACGTAATTTTAACCCCTCACTCCAAGTTAGAGAACTATCACTGGGTCTCAAACTGAATAATTGTTGCTCTTCCATTAAGTTGTCCTTATTTATAAACATGATAAAATACTGAATTCATATTAATTTCCCATGGATACTGAAAAAAAATAGGTTGTCATATATGGTAAAAAGCTAAAGGGATGAATATCACTTTGTTGGGACGTTTTAATTGCCTGGGATGTCACAAATGTTCTTATTGGTTTATGAATACATAATACTTATGAATACATAATACTATGGTGGTATGAATAGAACTTAGACTAAACTTTTTGGCCAGTACCTGGCAAAGTCAACCATTATTGTCATTTTAATATGACTAAAGCAATACATGTTTATTAGAGACAAATCAGAAAAGATATACCAAACAAAGAGATAAGACAAAATACATTCACAATCCTATTTATTCCACAATAACTACTTTTAACACCCAGGTTTATGTGCTTTCAAACTGTAGTCTCTGTTTTGTGTGTGTGTAGATTTTTAGTGGTATCACATAACACACAGTTCTGCAGGTGCTTTTCCCCTTTGATATGCTGTAAACATATCTGCATGTCAGTTTTTCAGACAACTTTTCTGAACCTTAAGTTCTCCAGCTGTAGTTGTAAAGATCAGAAGGCATGCCATAAGACTTTATTGCTAATGGAGTGAATTAGTCTTATTTTTACTACGAGCTAAATTTGTCCTTTTTGTCAAAATGCTTCATTGGAATATTCTGTATAAGAGCCCTTACCACCTTAAATCTGATTTTAAAAATATATTTTTTAAATACATTTATCCCTGAATTATTTAAGACTAGCTGTCTGTGTCTTTGAGTTCCCAAGGCCTGTCTCAATTTCTGGCTCATAATCGTTTTTAGTAATTGCTGGACTTAATATGTGTTCCATCTCTGAATAATTTAGAAGCTCTCTACTGTTCTTTGACCTCTGATTAAGTTAATATCAAAATGTGCTGCTGAGGTTGGTTGGTTTTTTAGCATCATTTATCCATAAGTACCATTGCTAAAGTATGTTTAGGAACAATAACTTAAAATAGGCAGTGTTGTGTACATGTAAACTTCTTCCTTAGTATTGAAATATTTTTCCTTCTCGCCATTTTGGATACTTTTGAGACCTTGAATTTTTGTTTTAAACGGATTTAAGAATGTAAGTAAGCCGGGCTCGGTGGCTCAGCCTGTAATCCCGCGCCTTGGGAGGCTCAGGTGAGTGGTTTGCCTGAGCCCTCGGGTTCGAGACCCGCCTGGGCAACTTGGCGAGACCTCATCTCTACAATAAATCAAAAATTAGCCGGGTGTGGTAGC